AAGGCGTCATCATTGAGTTTTTCTTTCCACACTAAGACAAGGCTAATCAACTGTCGAATGACACCTATCTATGCAAATATTACAATCCTTTGAAGAGAATGCCACTTTGATCAAGTTGATCGAATGTTTTTTTGAATCCGTATAACTTATCTATGAACTATGTATCGTTGATTACGAGTCTAAAGAGTCGTGAAGTACGATAGATTGGCTCTAATTCCAAACAAATACCCTAGTCGTTTTCAAGTAGGTTTCATAAAAGAAAGAGACTGGCTATTTGTGTTTCTGCTTTCCAACGAACGGCTAAAAAGAAAATTGAGGCAAATGGTAGTTCAGAAAGAACAAAACCAAACGGTCTGCAATTATGCTATAGAAACTTCTCATTCTGACATAGATCAGAGAGGAACAATGATAGGGCAAGACTAGGCATGTACTAATACCAAAACTTTTGGTTTGGGGTACTGGCTTTTGGGACTGTGGCCTTTCTCTTGCGTTATGATAGTGATTATTCTAATAAAGTACATAGTACTATTTGAGAAGAAATTAGTTCTATTGATCACTTATGGGAACTTTTCATCTGAATTAGAGCTATACAGATCATATTTATGAATGAGAGCGTTTCTTTTTGAACTCACATAGGCCAAAAATCAGAATTATAAATTACATTAAATGTTTATATTTTTCTATGATACTTCATTTAAGAAATATATTTTCTCATTTTTTGAAAGCTATTTAGAGATATCATTAATAACTTTTCAAGAGCTATTTGGAGGTACCGTTGGTAACTTTCTGACACTCTCTCGGGGTACTATTAATAACTTTCTCGGGACTATATGGACACACTATTAGTAAATTTCTGAGAAATATTTGCAAGTTTCAGTAGTCATTTTTTGAGACCTATCTCGGTGTATTGTAAGTACTTTTTTGAGAGCTATGTCGAAGTATTCTCAGTAATTTTGTGGGATCTATTTCCGGATACCGATGGTAACCTTCCGAAGGCCTATTGCTGAATATCATTAGCAACTTTGCAAGGACGAACTGACCTCTCCCATGGTCTCATCAAGTTATTGTGGATACCTGCAAATAGCTCTTGAAAAGTTATTAATAATATCTCTAAATAGCTTTAAAAAAATGAGAAAATATATTTCTTAAATGAAGTATCATAGAAAAATATAAACATTTAATGTAATTTACAATTCTGATTTTTGGCATATTTGAGTTCAAAAAGAAACGCTCTCATTCATAAACATGATCTGTATAGCTCTAAGTCAGATGAAAAATTTCCATAAGTGATCAATAGAGCTAATTCCTTCTCAAATAGTACTATGTTGACAGTTACTTTCACCATAATGATAATTTCTCTTTCCTGATCATATTAGGCAAAGTTGGATAAGCAAAGTGAACTACTTTATTAGAATAATCACTATGCTAACTGAAGAGAAAGACTACAATCCCAAAAGCCAATATTGCCAAACCCAAAAGTTTTCGGTTGGTTTTAGTATTGGCACACGTCTATGTACGAGCCATCCCCTATCTACAAAAAAGCAGAAGAAAAACAACTGTTTTTCTATTAAGTTTCTTTCTGAAGGAAGAATGAAAACAAGAGATGAAATTTCTTTTTGATGTATGCTGGTAACTACATATTACAAATTTGTATTTTATTTTTCCTATAGATGAAAGAGACTTTTTGTGTAATGCTTATTCAGATTAAATTACACAAAATAAATTTATCAAAAGGGTACAGAACGTTCTCTTGATAATTTATTTTTGTAAACAAAACTTGTTTTTGTTGTCATTTTGTTGAAAAGTCGAACTTTTTTTTTCAGAAGTATAATTATCGACAGTGTTTATGATTTTGACCATTTTATACGTGTACTTATAACTATTTTAGGATGACTTGGAGTCAGGCCCCGCGAAAGTGGGGGGGTGTAGGGGGGTGTACACCCCCCAATAATTAATAATTACTCATTCGTAGCCAACAAAATCCATAAATCTTTTTGAAATTTTTTGCTAGAAAATTCTGAAGGGATGTTTAAATTTTTCGCTTCGCGAAAACATGACCACGGGAGCGTATTCGGCCTAGAAATATGTGTGATTTTTCTGTTTTTAACGCAATTTTACTTCTGTTTTCTTTTTGAAGAGCTTTATTTTCCAACAGTCGTCACTAGCGTGGCCGCCTTCGGCGGCGAAATCTCTAAGAGTTATCGCAACACTTTTTGCTTTCGAACAACATAAGGGAAAAAGAGTTTTTCGTGAGTCTGAAAAATGTTTTCGCTTCGTGAAAAATAACAATTGTGTAACCGCAGTTAACTTAGACAAACTTCCTATTGTCCGATTCAAAATAAAAGGCAGGTTACCATTTTTCGAATAACTTTTGATAGGAACGAGATAGAGAGGTGCGGTTTTCACAATTCGAAAGAGGGATGTCTGGGCCATCGATCGGTATAGAACTCATTAAGACGGAAAATGTTTTTTTTATAGGTACCTTTGGATCAACACTTTTTCTTTTGAGTATTTTCATCAATTTTCAAGATAATCTCAGCTCAAATTATGTCAAAATGTAGCTCAAATCACCCTCTTTTCGCTATAAAATTATCACATATTTTATTATCTCTCAATCGCTTATTCTAAGTGGGTTTAAAAGAAAGAAATGCTAATTTTATAGCGAAAAGAGGATGATTTGAGCTACATTTTGACATAATTTGAGTTGAGATTATTCTAAAAATTGATGAAAATACTCAAAGGAAAAGTGTTGACTCAAAGGTACACTTAAAAAAAAATATCTTTCGTCTTAATCAGTTCTATACCGATCAATGGCTCGGACATCGCTCTTTCGAATGGTGAAAACCGCAGCTCTCTATCTCGTTCGTATCAATAGTTATGCGAAAAATGGTAACCTGCCTTTCATTTTGGATCGGATAATACTTTAGTCAACTTTTCCTTTGAAACAGCTTGATATAGAGCAATTTGCACCAAAGTGGTCGCTTTCGATAACGGCAGTATCGAGAAATTTTCTCATATTGGACTCGAGTTCTCTTCTTGAAAATTTGGGAGAAAAAATCAAATTTTTTAAGGAGGTTGCAAAAAGTTGTCGCTTCGCGAAAAATGATTACATTTTAGGCCCGCAAAAAAAGATTAACATCAGATCTGATGCGAAAAAAATTTTGCTTCCCTGAGTCTTGACTGCCTTGAAATCTCGTCACACCCCCCCAATCTTGGATCCCTCGCGCGGGGCCTGCTTGGAGTTATCAAGAATATGTTGCTGCTAGCTTAAGTATACATTTTGGTTTGGGTGTTGTAATCATTGCTGTTTTATTCTATCTTATACGCTGGCGTCCTAGAACATTTTATCGTATGATTGAAACAATGTTTTCAATTAAACACTGTGAAGCAACACCATGTAACGCCAGGGAATTTATTGATGTATACGGTGTTCAAATTGGCTTGTCAGCAACTACTCTTGGATTTCTACCTGCTTTGGCCTTATTTATTATGGCAACAGCTGTCTTAACAGCTACGTTCATCCTTTTTCTATCGGAACTAATTTTCATTACCCGTTATGTTTCTCCGAATAGTAAATGTCCATCGGCCAATGAAATGGACTGCTACACAACTGTTAACGGTACATATCTTTTTTGTAATTCGTCTGACATGAGAATCGATGCGTCACTAGAGAGTCTCGTTTGTTATCGATGGATAAAACAAAATATCGGAACTGTCGATATACTAACTCAAGCTGGTCTATGTGGTGGATTGCTTAAAGCATTCGGGTGGTTCATTAATATTTTTTTACGTTTGTTACTCCACGTATTACAGTCAAAGAAGCCAAGTCTACCTGGAAGAGAGATGACTGAAATGAACGTTGTTGATTTTTCATTACGAAAGCAGAATTTGCTCAAGTTGTGTTTTAGGCTACTCCTGGTTACTCTTATTACATTGAGCCCTTGCATAGCTCTCATAATACTAGGTGCAAAGAATATTACTCGCACAGGAATAACGATGGTCATATTAAGCGTCATATTTCTTATATCTGTGTCGGGCCTCTTGCTGTTTCTTACCCGTGAGAGCACAAACTTTAAACATGGTAATATAGTCTCTAACAAAGTCGACACAATTTCTCCATCAGTATCAGAAATGGCACTTCAATCAGTTAGCTTACAAGGTATTCAAAGGATTTAAACCAAAATACGACAATAAAAGAAGCTAGTTTCACCGATTCACTCAAAAATATCACAGATTATGCCGACAATGAACTGAATTGCAAGATCTACAGCGAAAATTGTATCTAACAAACAAAAATTGAAGGAGAAAATTCTATATTTTGGTAACAATAGGAAAACGTTCAAATAGATTATAAGTTATTTTTAAAGGCAGAAATTCTTGCTGAGTGTTTCTCAAAAGTAAAACATGAGATAGAAGAATGGTCTACACGTGTCGAAATTTTCGGAGTGTAGGTGCGGGTGTGGGTGTGAATGTTAGTGTGGGTCGATGAAAGTAACACCGACACCGATACCCACACCTACTTCCACACCCACATCCACACACACCCATGTCCACCTCGATTTTAACAGTGTTTTCTTAGACGTATAAGCTGATCTACATACGAGCTACTAATTCTGGAAATATGTGCATTTCAATAGGAACAGTACGTATGTAGAACTATATTTCACCAGCTATTACTGTTATGCTTCGATCTCTATTACATGAAAGAATTCATCTCGATCATGTTTGTTCGTTTATTGTTATCGATATATGCTTCGTCGACCTAAGTTTATTAGATTTTCTAGTTTTTTATTATATAAATAGCATAACAAGAATTTTCTTTCTATTACGTTCTTCACTATATGCCGAGGGCAATTGCGTACAATCTTCAGTGAAGAACGCAAGAGAAAAATCTTCTGATTACAAAACTACATCGTATATATATAGATGTGTATATTCTTGTTAATCTTTCATTCGCGTCGTACCAAATTCATACTTAATAACCTATTTCTTCTTCGAATATGTCTTCATCATCGTCTAATGAAATTATTGGTCGTTGTCTTTGTGGTGAAATCAAAATTAAAACGGCTCATGAATGTTCAACCGATAAATCATATCAGATCGTATTATGTCATTGTATAAATTGTCATCGTGCTGGAGGTGGATTGGCATCATTAGATTTAATATTACCTGAAGATAAAGTTAATCTATTAGATAAAAAATCATTATTAAAAAATATAATGATACAGATACAAAATCAAAAAGTGTATCCGAACGTTATTTTTGTCGTCAATGTGGTAGTCCTGTTTATTCAAAAAGTCCGGAAACTAAACCAAAAAAAATTATTATTCAATTAAGTTTATTCATCGGTGAAATCGATCAACTACCGAGGCCAATGAAAGAATTATTTTGTAAAGAAATGATGGATTGGGAAAAGAAGATTGATGGTGCTGAACATTATGATGAAAGAATGGAATAATCGAAGTTTTCATAAAGCATAAAAGAAGTTTTAAAGTTATTTTATGTTTCGTTTTCTTTGATTTTATTAATAACAATATATACATCGTTGTTTTGACGTTACATGAAGGTTTTTTTTTAATTAGTATAAATTAAATCGTTTTCAGCACTCTTATTGACGACAAACGATCTCAAATCAAGAAGAACCAAGAAAAAGAATTGAGAAATTCAATTTTTCAAGAGAAACACTCTTAAATTGATGAGCATTTGGTTTCTTAAAAATTGAGTATTTCTTTCATTAAAAACAGGATATTGATGTGAGCGTGATAGAATGGACGATGTACATCCACATCCACAGCCACACCCACACCCACACCCAAGGACTCAGAGATCTCTAGAGACAGTAATCTTGCACCGAATAGTCTGATCTTTTAAGTGAAAAAGATCTTACACTGTGCTTCAGTTATATAGTGATGTATCATGTATTTGACAAAAAGATACGCGGAATTTAGTTAGCAGCTTTTTTTCGGTTCAAAACTTTGCAACAAAAAAGGCTCTAGTCATTGTAATTCTTGTTTTATTTAAGTAATCAGGCTGAGCTCATAAATCTGATCTGCATTCTTGATAAATTATATGTACAAAAAGTTTCAGATCTCCAGTACCTGTGGTAGCTGAGATCTAGGTTGTTAGGAACTTTTGCAGCTACCGAAGAATATTAATCGATATGAATGTTTTTGACTCGAGATGTGGAAATCATAAAAGAGATTTTAAGTCAGTTTCCCAGTAGATTTCAGGAATACTAAGATCTTTGTAAGCAAATTTTGTAGATCGAAATTTCAATATTCGGTCTTTTATGATATGCATCGAAGTTCAGTGTATTAGATGTGATTTGAGAACAAAGACCTAACATTATAATTCATTTTCAGAGTTCGTCTAATTTTGATAGATCCCATATAATAACTGAAGTCTTATCTCGACTGCTATTTGTTATTTAAGAAGGCGTCATCTAGATCTTCAAGACAAGGATATACAGTCTTTCAAGATCTCAAAACAAAAAGATGCAATATCTCTGTTCATATTGGATGTATGTGTAGTTTTCTATTATTCTGAACTCATATTCACATTGTCAGCAGTCATTTGATCATAGCCATCTCTTTAGAGATAATAATTAGTAGTACCTATTGTTACTGAAGCTATAGTTAGTGTTATGATACTAAACTGATCTAGTCATTCCAAGACTCTACTCAACTGAATATCTGCACTGAAAAATGAGAGTATATTGAAGAACAAATCTTCCCACTATCACCTTCAATCTGACATGTTCATCTTTACTTCATATTCTTATTTTCGATATTTTTGTTTTCTATGTTTTTTCATCCATTCAAATAAGGTAAGATCCCTTAGTTACTCTTTTTATTTTGTTTTGCCTTGAAATTTCTATTAGACGTAGAACTTGAAAAACTCGAATCGTAGATACCACGTAGTTCTTATTTTAAAACATCAATTTAACAGGCCGACATAGTATTTTTAACATGCTTACGCAAAAGACATGTTGAACAGTAAAACTTAGTATTAAACCAACTGCATATGTGTCAGGGTGGATTCAATAGATTGATATGACAGTTTTAGGATTAAGGTTTTATACATGACTTTGTGTATTGCTAAGAATTATGGTAATTAAAGTCTACTATATTGCCTTTGCTTACAAAAAGACTTATAATATTAAATGATATTTGGCACGAGAAAGAACTTGTTATTATCGTCTTTTCGCATAAGTTACTAGGGTAGTTGAAGTTCCCAAGTGGATTAGTAGCTTTTTGGACACTTACTTTTTCTGGATCAGATACAGGCATACTGAAGATTTCATTCAGAGTGTTCTCTCGTTTGTGCTCCAAATTTTTTGTGACCATTGTATAATCTGAAGTGAGTGCATTTTGGAATTTGAAAATCCACTTTACATGTCAGATATACAGAGAACTGTGTGTATTTTCGCGGTCTTCTCGAAAGAAGCATAGGAACGCCTCTTTTTCTCTGGCTTGATACGCTCGCCTATTTAGATTGAGTTTTTTTTGTTGTTCCTACAGAAAAAATTCTATTCAAAAAAAATATGCACTTTTTGGAGTACTCATGTGCTTATTGAGATCTATCTGCCTTGATAATTTTGAATCTTTGTCGGTAATTCGTTCTGCACAAAGAAGAGAGGAGATACTCTTAAATACTCTATACGAATTGAAAAGTCTTTGGGTCATGTTAAATAATAGTTCTAAATAAGAAAATATCGATCTTATCAATTCTTCTTAAGAAATGGTATTCTTATTTGAAGAAACACAACGAGTCAAAAGATAGATATATTATGAATTAATTGATGAAAAACTTTTGAAAGACTTCTTCTTTCATTCTTTGTGTTAGCGAATATCGAGGATGATATGTTCAATGAATAAAAACTGGTCTAAATACTAAATTGACTGGTTCTGTTGGGTTGAAAAGAACATCAGTCGGCTTCAATTTTGCTTATAAATGAAAATAACAAAAATATTCATTGTATCCCATTGTCGATTTTTCAGAAAATCGCTCTACAAAATTTGTATCCAGCAAGGAACCGTCATAGGCAAGACAGACTTATCAGGATTGAGCGGTGAATGTAATATAATTTTGTTTAAGTATCAAACATGCACTAATTTTATTAATAAAACTTTAAATCTTACATAAAAGCACATTGTCGCACTTAAAATTTTCGGAGTAAAATCACTGCGAAAGTACCGAGTACAAGTGTCCAAGTTGATTTGATCGATTTGATACCCATGTTACACTCACTTCTGTCACAACAGCAGACTTCCATTCGTCGATTTTCAATATTTGTCTTATAGCAACCTTTTCTATTGCAATTACCTGGTTTTGCTGGTCCACGAGTAACAAGCCCCGCATTACCATTACCATTCACCGGGCTGATTTTCTGAAATAATAGAAAATTAAAAATATAGGATTTCTCTTGAGAAGCAAAGAATAAATTCTTTATCTTCAGTACCTTTAAGCAAACCTATGCTTTTCACTATAATAAGCCTAATTATCGGTATGCTAAGAAGTTGTAGCCACAAATAAAACTCATAATATAGCCAACAGTGGCAGGTTGTATAAGAAGAGAGCATTAATATTGGAGAGAATTTCAATAAAATTTTCTTGGTGCTGTTAGAGATTTTCAAATAACTCTCTCGTGATCATTTGTGTGTATTAGTAGTCTCGAGTGAGCACAATTGCCCCATGGGAACGTAAATGTTTACAGTTGATGAACAATATGGTTGTCCTTAAGACCTCGATAGTACTCCTGATTGTCTTCATGATGCACTACAATGTATTATTTAAACAGTCAGTGTAGTAAAGCATAACAAGACCCACAATGAATGAATCACCATATGCTCTATATCAAAATTTAACATGATATATTTCTTCGGAAAAGCGACATTGAGACTTTCACAATCACTACGTGTCATGAATAATGATTAAAAAAATCTCTTTCTCAAAGTACTTATAATAGTGGAGTGTGGATGTCCCTACTCTTCATCCTTATCCATATCCTTGGCATCACATTATCAATCATTTAGCAATAGAGAAATCCGAACAAGTTGAATGACTTATTTTGAAATACTCTGACTTCATTATATTTTTACTTACCTCACAGAATCTATTAAATGATGGAAGTGTTAGTACATTTGGATTGAATGGAGTGAATGGTTGAGGACATGGACGACCTTTATCGCCACAAAAGTAGCAGTTGATGTATGAAGGACTTGTTGTCAATGGTCTACTAGTAGATTTTGAAGTTGTTCCTGTTTTAGTTGTAGATTTCGAAGTCGTACTTAGTTTGGTAGTAGTTTTTGAAGTTGTAGTTTGTTTAGTGGTCAGTTTTGAAGTTGAAGTCGGTCTAGTGGTAACTTTTGAAGTCGTACTTAGTACAGTAGTAGCCTTCGAAGTTGTAGTTAGTCTAGTAGTAGCTTTTGAAGTAGTAGATGGTCCAGTAGTAACTTTTGAAGTCGTACTTAGTTTAGTGGTAAGTTTTGAAGTTGAAGTCGATCTAGTAGTAGCTTTTGAAGTTGTAGTTGGCCTAGTGGTAAGTTTTGAAGTCGATTTAGTCGTAGCTGTTGAAGTTGTAGTGCTTGATGAGCCACTCGAGGAGGCTCACATATTATCTGGCAGAATTTGAGCACTGCCAATACAGCAAATCACGAAAACAACTAAAGTGAGCACTTGCATTGCTAATTTCTTTCTAAAGAAGTTCTAAAATGTTTGATAGAATATGCAACAAAATAGCTACATGTATATATACTCTTTCTATTACTGTTTTTTTACGCAATGTAAAGACGCTAGTCTTGTGCTACTAAAAATTGATAAAACGCAGAAGTCATTATCTATTTGTTGATACACCAACACATATACTATGATATGACACACTATTAGAAGATTATTTTTATTTCTTCTGTACGTTTATTTTCTCTTCGTATTTATTAAAAAAATAAATCTGAGTGTTAGCAAAGCAAAGCAAATGTCAATAAGAACGAAGTGTGTGAAAACATACCAGATGTATGCGTATAACATATTTCTTCATCAACAAAAATTTGGGTGCACTTATATTCGAAGATGAAAAAAGAAGAACCGGAGATAACAATGATAGAAATACTAATATGAATAAAACAATAAGAAAAAGAAAAATAATCCATAGTGTAATAGCATAAAAAAACAGAAAGAATACGAAAACTTGTAAATTTGAGTGACAAGAAAGATGCAGCAAAAAATAGACTAAATTAAAGCTGGAGGTGAACAATATTACTGTGATGATGATGATGATGATGGCTGATGCAAATCGTGCAGTTACGATGTGTGTTTCATTGTATCAAGACGTTGTAGAACACTCGCTATTATATGCAAGAATAGATGTTCGTTATTGACGTGCATAAAACCGTAATTAGCGTTAAAAAACAATAAGGAGCCGTATTACCCTACAGATTGATACCAGTAACAAGTTCATGATCGACCGTAAATGCTATAGCTAATACCAGTTCTAGTTCAGTAACTTTCAGCACAACGAGCTCTTCGGCATTGTGTGCTCAAAGCGTGGTTGTGGACGAAGGTCTTTTTTTTCATACACACTCACATCTTACAAGCAAAAATCTAACAGACTTTAAAATTCAAAATTTTTGATAAACTTCTTGACAGCATAAAACTGAATTATGTGTAACAGAGAGAAAGAAGTTTCTAATTATTTTTTATAATGAATTCGGCAAAACGATAGTTCTTCAATAAAACAGCGGGATAAATCATTCTAGAAATAAGTTAGATTGGCATCCAATGACTATCCATTGTGGTGGTTTATTAACTTTTACAAACCACCTCTTTTTTTATTCTATTATCAGCAATATGATCGATCATCGTATGTTATAGACTCTTACTGACAATCAAAATATGGTTATTGAAGGAAACTTTAGATATTATACTTTATTCGAAAAGCAAACTATGTGTAATATCATCATCTTCATTCGTCTACTTCTTTCACCTTTTAGCACCTAATGATCTATCCCAAATAAATATTTGAGAAAAGATAATACATTCGTATAGACATTGTCTTGACAAATCCATATTTGTTCATTCAAGCATCTGTTTGTTCGTATCGACTCTATCTCCGAACTTTGCTCGCACAATTTAATTTGATTCGACTCATCCCTTTTTTTTTTGTTAAACTATTTGCAATGAGTCATTAGAATTTGTTATTTTCAGTTTCAATTATATGTTCTTTCGTTTCATGAAAATAAGCACATTCACAATTTTTGGACGAAGTATTGTACACTCACAGTTTTTTCATACTAAAAACATACAAAGAAGTATTGAAAAAAATTAGACGTTTCCTTTAATTTGATGACTAACTCAAAACATCAGAAAATGTTTGACAATCATTTTGTCAAGAAATATCTGGCTGTTTAAACTCAAATATTATTCATTTCAATCAGTAGTGCATAGAATGAATATCTTTCAGTTTGAAGCGAAATGAACAAATTCATGAAAGAAAGAGATGCAATAATGACCAAGGACATCCGTTGTATAGACTACTGGTCTATTGCTGATCACTAATTGAATGTGAAGTTGAGATCAAAATAACAGAGTAATGAAATATCGAGATGACGAAATGTGGTGACGCATTACTTTAACAAACAACTAACAAAAAAAAATTACGATTCTATGTTGACAATGCACATTCTGACGTACTCAAAATAATATTTTTTCTGGTGAGAAGAAGCATAGTTAACGCAAGGGGTTGATGTGTATCTATCAGAGATGTGCACCGCTCGAGCGGCCGCTTTATCTTAATTTGACCATTTTGCGAGGAAATATCTCCTGAAGTTGAAATCGACAAACCTAAACTGGTATTAACATCGTGCAGCAATATTGGTGTCCTAGTTCTCTTAAATAACAATGGTAAATAACGAAACATTGAGTTCATACTCATATTTAATATAAAGATCGTTTTTAAATTCTATGCTACCCAAGTAGACGCTAAAATGCATGCGATGGACTCGATGACTGCTCGAAAATGTGAAATATTTTTTTTTTCGTTCTGTTCTATTATCGAGCCCTCGATAGTTACCAAATTTCCGAGTACTCAGATAGTGCCCTGTCGGAGACTTAGTTTCAACGACTCAACGATTCTTCGATTCATCGATACTTATCGAAATTTTGAGTACTCGACCAAAAAGTACAATCTTAAGGGTTCAAGCTAATTTTGAGTTAGTAAATTTTGCTTAAAACGAGGGTAATAAATGTTATGTACGGTTTGGGTTATCTTGAACGGAAACTATACAGTTTGCATTACTTGCTGACCTTTGTAATTTTCTAAGAAAAATTGTATCAAAAGGACGAAAAATCAAAAACATAAAATTGTAAAAAAACGTTCCTTCGAAACTTAAAAACAAATAATTAAGTTTTTATCTTAATCAATTAAATTTTTCTTTATCTTTTTTTCGAAAAAATCGGCCGTTAAATTATCAACTTTTGAACACTAACAAAGACTATTAATTTAGCTTTAGAAAAAACATCATATCTAAAAACCTGAATTTGAAAAATTCAAATCCATAAAAAATTGTTCAAAACTGATTGTTTAATTTATAAGAATTTTAAATTTCCGAAATTTGATTTTTAAATTCTTTTAAAAGAAAATGATATCCCTAAATATTTTTCATTTAAGAATTTGAATAACTTAAAAACGATTGTAGAAAAAGAAATACAATTTATATTTGGTTTAGATGTTCGACGGCTTGTAACCGTAAGTGGGTGTGGGTGTGTGGGTGTGGGTGGGTGTGGTGTGGGTGTGTGGGTGTGGGTGTGGGTGTGGGTGGGTGTGGGTGGGTGTGGATAAGGGTGTGGGCGGGTGTGAGTGTGGGTGGGTGTGGGTGCGGTTAACATAGAAGACATCCACACCCACATCCACACCCCACACCCACACCCACACCCTTGTGACTTCTTTCACCCTCGGTCTTTGTGTCTATGCATCATACAATACGCATAAGGTGTGTTCTCCTCTGCTCATTTTTACTTTTCCCTAATATATTTTCACTACTTGCTGTTTGTTCCCTGCTGTTGCATACAAGAGCTATTATACCAGCGTATACGTATACAAACTAGATAGAAAATTCATTCTGAAACTATTAGGGTGTCATTTTAGAGTTGACACCGGTGCACATTAATACTGATTGATATAGTTGCTGATTAGAATAAATTTATTAATGCTAATACGTAGGTATAAGAGTCTTCCTGGTGTTAATATCGATCTCATACCGTTGCATATGACTGTTCATCATCATAGAGAAAAACGAAAAATTTTGAAAACGAGAAGAATAAAGAAAATTATTTCGCATAGAAATCATTCATCTTAATAAACATAATTGGCTTACGTGTTATGAAGAGAAAAAGAACCGTGTAATAAAAAACTAACAGATGGTATTCATGATTTTTAATACTTTCATTCCTAGATGATATTAAACCTTAGAAGCGAAGCAGTGTGTGAATCAGCGTCGTCCATCTTAAAAACGCACATTCACAGCAATCGTTCATTAGATGAAGAAGTTATGGTACATTGGAATGCACCACCTTTACATACGGCTGATTGCATCATCACAAATTCACTCGATAATTATTTTAGTACAATGAAAGATAAAAATTGGTTATTTTATAAAAACAGTGAACAATATCAAGCTTGGAAACTTGTTTCTTCTGGTTCAATTAGTTTAAATCGTTTACGAAAAGTACACATAACAAGATTACCTGAATCAGACCCTATTGAATAGAACACTTTTTGTGTACTCAAAAAGTGAGTGCACGATAGAATCTGTCAGTGCGTCCGACCGACCGGTCGTTTACACGACAACTCTTCAAAGGGTAGTCCAGTTGTAATGAAATTTTGCACACAGAGTCGTCTCATCAATATCTCGGTCAAGTTCGAAGATGAGAATGATTCGTCAAGAAATTGCTGAGTTATCGCAAAAATGTCATTATTTCCTATACTGTTCTATGCGAACATTGACCCAACACAGTTTTCGTAAAAAAATTTGTTCTCTCATAATCAAACAAAGCCTCAGCTATTATATACCATTCAATAGAGAATTTCACGGCCTACAAAATGGTATACAAAACATTAAGAAACAAGAAGGCTAAGTCACCTATTGCAAAGATACTTAAACGGAAATTGCTTCTGTGTTTTTACTTTTTGAAGTACACATAACACTCGGATTTAAATCCTAGGTTTCCATATTTATTTTAATGTGTATTTGCAATATGTTTAATATTAGTAGTTGTTTCTTTTTGAATAAATATCTGAAGCAAGAATCTCATTTTTTTTAATTGAATTTTATAACGGAGGAAATTTTTTCGAAAAATTTTGCCGTTCGGGAAAAATTTTCATTTTACTGGCAGATTCTGCATGCTTGCCACATTAAGAAAGAAATACTTTTCAATAATGAAAACGACAATTTTATACTTTGCATGCAGCAAAATTTATCCAAAAGATTTGCAACATGTCTTCCATCTTGAAATGAGCATTAGTAAAAGAAAAACGAAGCGAAGGAATTGATCAACATATGTTTGACGGGTCGCAATGTCTTAGCGAATTATGCTCTTATTATAGAAAAATTCACTATGAAAAACTTCTGTATGACCTATGAAACAAACATTCTTTGATTGTATGAGTATTGCCTACATTTTTCTTGAATTATTACTATGAGAAGCTTTTGATACGGTATATTTTTTTGCAGAAGAATTAAACTAAGTCTGTGACTAATGGATTTCACCTTTCTAGAATACGACTAGATAAGGATGGCGTCCGCATCTGAGACAAGTCAACTCGATGATGTCGACAGTATATATAAATAAAATCAAAACATTGGAAAAACAACTTAAGAGTCTGATAATCAAATGTGAACAAAGAAATGCAGTCTACAAAGATGCTGATTTGAAAAAAATTCATACGTTACATGCAACAATAAAAAAGCTGAAGTACAAACATTGGTCATTGTTGCGAAAGACTTATGGAAGTCGAAATCAAGAATCAATACTAGATGTTATATCGATACCTCTTCATATAATACTTGATAATGAGGACAATAGAGTCATGCAAATTCATATAGAATCTAACAAAGCATCATTCAAAATGACGCCTACCGGGTTTAAGGTGAATGATCAGCAAGTCGTATTGAAAGATATTGTTTATTCACCAAATACTAACGATAATCAACCATTCGATACTATAGCAGCCTATCGAACATTTACTAATAAAACAAAAGATTTTTGCCAAAAGCCAATAAATATCGCCGAAGATTCAATAGAAACACTCATACTTGTTCTTGATGCTTTCACTTCAAATTCGATGGTAATCTGACTATCACCATGGATAATATGCCATTTGATGATAGTTCTCATCGTTTAGCTTGCGGTATAGGCAATCTTGGTAATGTTCATACGCTTGCCAACAACTATGTACCAATGGTCAAGTTCACGTTCAACATTAACGTCGAGTATGAGAAGAATCTTGCCGAATCAAAGAATACTATGAAAAATTTCGCTTTGAGCTTTTATAGAGATATTTCTTAACTGTTAGCTTGTGAAGAGCACTATATTCGCGTACTTTCTCTGAAAAAATAAAAAAACAATCTGGTGAAACTACAGTTCACTTCGGTATAACCAAACCGAATTTTAAAGAAACATAACAGCTCGCTCATTTATTACAGGTACACTATGCATTGAGTTCTATTTGATGCTTACTTAGACTAGCTCCTACTAAAGTCAAACATTTTATATAATTATCTTAGATTTTGAAGGAAAAATCTATGAACTATTTTCTTTTTTCAGGATATGGCCAAAAAAGGTTTTTCTCAAAGATCGGTACTTCAATATGTCAAGCCCGCTTCATATGTTTATGAAGTGGGCTTCGGTTTTATCTTAGTTCCAATTGCAACTAAATGATTTTGCTTCAGAATTCAATAAGTATCATGAGGAAGTCGATCATAAGTATTTGGGTGATGCGACCTGGCTTGGCTCTGACAATAATGATGGCGCATGGTCAGTCGTATTTCAAGGAACACACCAAAACAACATAAAGAATGGTTCATTTCAATTTGATAGAATCGAAATGAATGAACCAGGACTCTGTTTAGCCACTCATTGTGACAGTGAATCTCACCCACGATGTACAGAAGTATTTTCTGTTAAAGTATCTGATGAAAATACTGAAAATTATCGAATGGTGTTTCAGTGTCGTATTCAATCGAAAATGTTTACCGTTCATGAAAGTTCAGTAGAGAAAAGAGAAACATGGCGCTTTGTCGATCCGAATGCTATTCAACCCTATGGCTTATTATCAAAAAAAGAAGAATCATAAGCAAATTATACATAATAAAATCATGGAATGCTGACATGCACATGATTGATATCGTTGTTCTTTTTATGGAATATGTCCATAGCTACTGATTACATATTCAGCAATTGTCTTGTGGAGAAAAGTAGAACTCGCATATGAAAGTACAATGAGCTGAATAAAGAATATATTATTGATTTTCTTCTTGTCTTTTAAAAGCATGAAAAATTCAATTTCTGTTTTTTGCATTTCAGATGATACGGATGGACCATTCGTTCTAGAAATATGCGACAATTGGGTTTATAAACGAAATTATTTGATGTAATATTGATTGGTAAATTCAAAAGTAGATAGGGTGCTAATGAATGTGTAGCGTTGGTAAGGATCTTTTCTCAGCTTATATCTAAGAAAGTACCCACACCCTCTAGGAGGTACGAAGATCTCCTTGCTCATACCTTTAGTGGGCCTTTAAAAGTGGTTCACAACCGTTCCTTAGAAGGCTCAAAGTTTTCTCAAGAAGACTAATGTTCCTGAAATCTCTGTCTGTTTGTTACATTTCCAAGAAACTTTATTACGAAATGAACTTGAAGAAGGAAAAAAAATCAAATTTACAGCTCCTTCGACATATTATGTTAATTCTTAAAACATCTAATAGTTATATTTTATAGATACAAATATGATTAAGATGTTCTTATTAAAGCAGTTCTTGACAAAGTGAAAGACAATATTTGATTTATTTATTTTTTATGTTTTATCTATTATTGCAATTTACTCAAGATGAAATATAATGATGTTGCCATATCTAATTTGAGTTAAAAAAAACTAATTGCAAAATCTAGGAAATGTTAAATTCCAATCATTTTTAAAAAATAATTGATCCTTATTATGGACATTTAATTGATGTATTATTTGAAATGTTGATGGTGATTGTTGACTAAACATAATGGATTTTGTTTCTATGTCGACTTTAATTGATGATTGATCTTGAAAATAATATTTTAAATATCTTTTGATTTCTATTCTTGCTGATTGAGGATCATTTTTTTTAATTTCATAAATACTTTCTAATGTTTCATCCCATATTAAACCATCAGGATGTTCAATAGAACCATTATCTTCATTGATCTTTAAAAACAAAAAAGAAAGAAAATTATTAAAAAGATTAGAAAAATCAAATTACTTTTAATGTTATTAATTCATTAATTTCATCTAATATTCTAAAACGAGTAATTGAACTATCTCGTAAATATTTTATTGGAATTCCTTGACAAATTTCCGGAAAACCAAAATCATCGCTTGTCAAACTTAATAAATTACAAAAAAAAAATGTATTGTTTTTTAGAATATATTTTAAAAAATTCTCTTACTATTGATCATTTAAACAAGTTAATGTAAGAATACATGGTGATATTTCATTAAAATGAATTCTAGAAAAAAAAAAAAAAAATCCTAAATTTTTATTCTTTCTCTAAAATATATGATAACAAACGTCAATGTTGATAATTGGGATGAAGGCCATACAATTGGCCAATATGATGTTGATAAAGATAAACGAAGACGACAACCAGTTGGTAAACATACACAAACACCAGATAATGTTACTTCAACACTTTAGTTTTAGAAAAAAGAAAATATTCTTGCTTTTTTTTTAAAGTACTATTTCAAAAAATACATACTTGTAAATTTCATCAATATTTAGTGGTTGAGGATGTTCATGTGATTTATAATGTGTTAAATTAAGAATTCCACGTGAAATAAGAATTGAAGATGAACTTTTTTCCTCAATCATACAGAGACGAACATATATTAAACCATTTTGACTATTCGAACTTAAATTAAGTTTAACAGTTGGAAATCCAAATAATTCTAAAGATGAATAAAAATTTATTTGAAATATTTTCTATAATAAATACCATAATCATGATTTAATGGAAGAGACTCAAAACATAATGATCTTCCATCATCTTCTCGTTGATCTATTGGATGATCAGGACTGTTAATATTTCCCCATCCAAGTAAATTTCCACTTGATAAACTTGTCTCTTGAGGAGATAAGAATGAAATTTTTTTAGGATTTAAATCATTTAAATTAAATTCAGTTGTTAAACGTTGAAAAGATAAATAATATTTAATTTGTTTTGTATCAATTTGTTGATTTTTATTAATTAAATGATCATTTCTTTGAAAATGTTCATATGGATATGATGGAAGTGAATTAAAATGTATCCATTTTCCTTTTCTGTCTTTTACAATTGAATGAAGTTCATCAATATTTGGATGTAATTGAAATACTGATAGAATTTGTTTGTTACCATAACCATTATCAATACCTTTTATATAATAATCAAGCCATTGAACTAGTTCTTGTAAAAATCCAATTTGTGGTCCAGGATACGCATCATCTCTAAAAAATAAAAATCTTATCAATATAGATTTTAT